TAATGGAGAAGCATTCCTGAAAAATAAACCCTGTCTGAAAAATAATAGAGGAATTTTATGCTGTCAGCGACCAAACCAGCAATACCAAAATGACGGCACTTTGAAAGTCTCCGAAATTTAAGCCTATGATGATATGAGAATATGTAATGGGGGAACAATATGAATTCTTAAGTGTTGAGGATATTTTGCTATGTTTATGCCGTCCAACGCAACAAGTCTTACGCAACTAGTGAATCAAGGTATCCAGAGTATAAATAAATATTAACTGCCAATTCCTTTTTACGCGTCCATGTACGAGCTTTTAAACTGGTATCCACAATTTTCAGAAACAATTCACGCTGAAGGATGCCATATTTACTTTGTTTCTTTCCTAGAAAGACATAAAGAATATTACTTTACGTCGCTGTTGGTTAAGTTATGGCCGTAGATGACGAGTCGAGTGACATCTTATCAAGATATTTCTTGGTTTTAGAACATGTCCAACACCCATCTTGGAGTTATTTATATGCACGAAGAAGATTAGTATTAATAAAGAGGAAGTGCAGGCCAGGATGGATACAGATTATTTATTCTGTTCCTGTCTCACACTCTAAAGATGACGACGAAGCAATCGAACATGTACTGAGAAAGGAGAAAGATGATAAGGAGGAAAGGGAAAATGAAGATGAAGAGGACACTAAGAGCAGAAATTTACGTGGAAAGAATCTACGAAGAATTCCAGACTTTCATAAGATTTGCCACGAAATGTTCATCTATGTCCGTACATGACGTCATGAAGCTTCATAATATAAACAACGAAATTTTTAAAACTACTACGACAGTCTTGCAAGCAGGTAGATATTTGAAGTTATATGCCATCATACAAAGAAAGTCGTTACTTTGACGTCATGATATATGTGGCAGTTTTAAAATGTTTAATTTCGTATTTCTGAAGTATAAAATCATGTTATGTGTTTTAATTTTAAATAATCTATACTATTTTCGATATTATTTAATTTAATGTGGCCGATACATCAAAAAACACTACAGACGGACGCTGCATGCTGCAGTTCTACATACAAAACATGAGCAAGTATGTTCGACAAACATCTACCCAGTTGTCCGAAAAAATCTCTTACTCGGAATTGGCGCGGTCCCTCTGACGGTTAAAAGGGACTTTACTGTAGTACGAATTCGTGCTTAAGAGCTCTACCCAATCCATAATCGCTAAATATTTATTGATAATTAAATGACCTTGATTGTTGAAATAAAAAAATTTAGGATTGTTCTCATAAATACATGGTACAAATTGTAACATAGTGATAATTCAGCAAATGTATGGTAGAAAAAGTTATGCTTACCTTCTGATAAGCTATCCGTGACTTTTACAATTAGTCAAATAATATAACGGAATAACTAAAACTATAATGGAATAAATGACTCTGAATAGATTACCTTTAATCTTAACCTTTCTGTATGCAGAGGAATTTTTATAAAATTAATAAATGGAGAAAGAATTCAAAAGCATCAAAAATTACTCTCCAGAAAATGGATCAAATTTTTTTACTTGTAATGAAATTAGCTCTGTGGAATAACATACCTTTCATATATTTCATATGTTTCTATGTAAATAATTATAAATGTTTTTTTATTTTTTTACTACAGCTTTTCTATTGTGATAAAGTTTGTAGCTTTAAAGAGAAATTACTAAGAATTATCATCATTATGAACTGTAGATACTCATGGATCAATCGGATTTTTCCTTATTAATTCTCAACTGTGAAAAAAAAAAAAAAAAAAAAGAAAAGAAAAACCAAACTGCTCACATACAACGTATTCCTGTCGAAGCGTTTATTCTCAGAGCAAAAATTCATAACTAAAGTTATTAAATTTTGACAAGTATGAGCAAAATTTAATAACATCTATATCTTTTACTCAGATTTATATCCCACTGTAGATTAGTTAGCTCTATTTATAGGTTTCCTGATGCGTTATTCACGTTGTTTTTAATGGTGATGAAAATAATGTAAACTCGGTAAATAATTAATATCTTGAAAACTTATAATTTAACATCTTCAAATAACACTATATTTGAAACAAATTCATAACTGAAATATCATCGCCGATCGCATAAAATTTCTTCGGGTGCCGCCTGCTATCAGCGAGCCTCCAGTTTGAAACCACTGATTTATAGCTTTCGGAGATCTGAGCATATTTTTGCATCATTTATACCATTCGGTGCTAAATTTTAAGCTGTTGTTTTTAAATTACTTAAATCCAGCGACATTAATTTTTTACTTCTTAGAAAATGAAAATAATAGCATATTTTGTTTAATTAGTTCAAAGGGGTGGTAACCCAGAAAGACTATTAGTCTCAAAATGGCATTTTGTAGCGTCAAATATTAGCGCCATGTATTATATTTAAAGAAATTAAATAATGAAGAATCGGCATGAATGTATGCATGTTTCTAGCACTGTGAAAAAACGACCATATGGGCACCACAATGCACCTTGAATTTCGAATTGGTTTTATTATCTATTTTTTAGTTTGTAAAACTTTAACGAATTTTTGATTAACAAACTCAACGATTTCAAAGCGAGCAATGGCAACATTGTAAGGGAAAAAAAAAATATATATATATCTCCAGCACGCCAAGCTTTCTATCGGAAAATCTAAAGATATACTGTATACTTTGTGATATTACTATTGAATTGAATTTTATGTGGTTTAAATGCGAGCAGCATGATATTTAATAAGTAAAGGTGACACACAAATTGTTAGAAAAAAAAAAAAAGGCCTCTTTGGGCAATATAAAATTAACGTTTCAGATTAAAAAAAAAAAAAAAAATTAAAAAAAATTTTATTTGCGGTTGAGTGTGTTATTAAAATATCTAGTATTTCTTTACTTTCAGGTTGGCTTTAATTTCAGATTTTTTTTTTTTTTTTTTTTTTGTAATCTTAAATCAGTAGCGTTTTTACATTTATTTATTTTTTTTTCTCTTTCTTCACATTATAATATTTTCAAAATTGTATTTTAAAACATTTTTAAGCGAAAAAAGAGTAGATAAAATAAGTGTGTGAATTTTTAATGCACGTAGAGTAAGAAATGTCGCTGTGCAAATTTTATACAGCTTTGCAGAAATTGGTACTACTATAAAAGAACCGAAAACATACGTTAAAATTAATTAAATATGCTGAAATGTGCGGAAAGAAGGGATTATGCTTAGAATTTATGGCTGCTAGTTACATTAATAGGGCTGAGAGCGATAATACTCTTAAAGAAACATTCTTAATAAAAAGAATCCAAAAGACAAATTGTCTAAAAGCGAAATATCGGAAAACAGGACGATTCGATTATACATGAAACAAAAGATTTCATCAATGATATTTGATTTTTGTTTTCCAGCGTTTTAATACAAAGAGTTAGCTATATTTTAATAAGTAACAAATCACATAGGGAGAATTCTATTTCGAGCCAAATTTACAGCTATTTTTTATGAAACATTTTTTTACGAACAAATATTTTTTTACAACTTTTGTTTTACGAAAATGAGAAATCTTAAAAAGAAATATAATTAATTATGTTGCAATTCGGTGTTCCTCCATAATGATTACTTGTTACTTATATGGATTATCGTATTAAATTATAAGAGCTTCAACTATCAGGCAGTGTAAATTTGCTAAATGCGTAAAATACTTAAGTAAAAAGCTTTTAATGAAATTCTTTAATGTCGTTGTACGACATAATTTTGAAATTAAATAGTTTTATTTAATAAAATCTTCAAGTTAAAACCTTATTTGGACAAAAAATAATTATTATATAGGTAGTACATTTATTTCAGAAGAAAAATATTTTGATGATAATAAATATGGATAACATATTTTAGAGCTCGCAGTATTCATCAAACAACAAAAAACAAATAAATCTTTCTTTTGTGTGATGCTAGAAATTATTATTTTCTTAAATTAATTTGTTTCATTAAAGAACTTCATTTATTGGAATAAATGATTGATATTATCCTAATTTTAAAATTTCTCTTTAATTTGCTACATAAATTCGAAACCTAAGTTTTTTAGCCCAAAGGGCGATAGCCAAGAAGGGCTATTAGTTTTGTTTCGTTATTTTGCGTCGAAAACGTAGCATGAAGAACACTTTTCAAATTGTTGCCACCAAATATTATCGCCCTGTGTTATATTTAAAATTAAATAAAATAAATAATGAAGATTTTGCATAAATATATGTATGTGTCTCCCCTTTTGATAAAACAACGGTACCTAAAGCCATCATATTTTCACTAACGTAATCCTCCACTGAATATGGGCATCTGTAAGCCCTAATTTGGGAATTGTTTATATCGATTTCATATTTCGTAACATTAACGAATTTTCATTAACAAACTCAACGATTTCAAAGCGAGCAATGGCAACACTGTAGGGGGGGGGGGGAAATTAATCTTCAGGCGCGAGAGAAGAAATCCAAAATCCTAAAATCTATAAAATATTTTGCGATATGCTCTCTGAATCGAATTTTATGGTTTAAGTGCGAAGAATATGATATTTAATAAATAAAGGTACCCCTCTGGGTGTAATGTAAAATCTGAAAGCTTTTAGATTTTTTTATAACATATTTTTTTCTTCCTTCTCAGGAATATCGACTCGAAGTGAATCAGTCAAAAGGTTTAAAATTTCTTATATTAAATTTAAACGTCGTCCACATTTAAACAGTAATAGCGAAAAACTCATTTTCGATAGCTTTACGATTTCGATTAAAATTAATAGGTTTTAATATCCTTTAGGAGTCAACTGTTTAAATTTCCTAAATACGATTGAAAAAAAATCGATTAAGTAAAATTCGCCAAGTAGGTGATAAATTCTCCAAACGGCAGAATTGGCGTTATTTTCATTCGAGTTTACCGTAGTAGATCGCAGGAGGGAGCGCAGCTGTTGGAATGGCGCTGTATTTCTCCGTATATTTAATATTTATAAAGCTATTTAAACTATTATGTTGTACATAAACCGTTTTAATATGATACGTTACTGTTATCTCCGCGCAGTTTTGAACCGATAGCTATTTAATGATTTGAAAACAAGGAACAACGGTCTTTTAAAAACAGGGGGTGACTCCACGTTCTCAATGGCCATGCCATCGTTGCGACTAGACTGGTTGCCCCAGCTTTTTAACAGACATAACAAGCGGTAAGCAAGGCGATGCTCCTCGTTTCGTCGTCTCGTAGTGGTGTTTGAGGAAGGGAAGTAGTGAAGTGTGTGCGTGTGTGATGAATGTTATTGCTGTGATGGTCGCGCCCACGGTTGTTTACTGTCCGGCGCTGAGACCATATAACCGATGAGAAGCTTACTGTTATGGAAGCAGACGGCGGCTCTGAGCGGCAGGTGTATCCGCCGCACCTGAAAAGGGTTCTGAAAACTTATCAGGCTAGTGCAACTACCAGCTTGCATGGGCCTAACACTGTCATGGGTGTCTGGCCACCCGCCGGATCTGATGTGGTCACATCGGTCAGTCTGCCGAATCCAGTTCGCACCTTGACCCCCACCGATACTGCGAAGGTCAGTAGTTCCTGTACTACTACTGTTAGTGATACAGTAAAATTGAAGAAGGTAAGGCCGAGTAGCTCCGCTAGTTCAAGTACTGATGCCAGTTCATCAGCTCAGAATCTGGAGTATGACCCTTTTATAGCACCTCCTCCTTTTCCTATCCAACAACCTCCAATTTTCACTCCTGCAGATCAAAGCAGGTGTGAAAAATCCGAAACTGTTTTAGAATCTGAGACCATCTCTTGTTTCAGCGTAGGCGGTGAAAAACGATTGTGTTTGCCACAGATTTTGAATACAGTCCTCCGGGACTTTACTTTGCAGCAGATAAATTGTGTTTGTGACAATTTACACATCTTCTGTTCCCGCTGCAATTCTGAGCAGCTTGAGGTCTTGAAAGCCACCGGCGTCTTGCCCTTGAGTGCCCCTAGTTGTGGCCTTATTACCAAAACGGACGCTGAACGTCTGTGTGCGGCACTACTGGACAGCAACCCTCCAAAAGTGATTCCGAACCCAGACGTAAAACCGCCCTTCCAAGTTCGGGTGTATCATGAATGTTTTGGCCGGTGTACTGGACTCTATACACCCGATTTATACGCAGAACCCCGAGCACGATGCATCGAATGTGTTGAGTGCCATGGTCTCTTGAGCCCTCAGAAGTTCGTATGCCACGCTCACCACCCAAAAGAGAATCGCACTTGTCACTGGGGGTTCGATTCTTTCAACTGGCGGTCTTATATCCTTCTTGAAGTTGGACTTGAAGAAAATCCGCAGTTGGTAGAGATTCTGAGTGAAATGAAAAATCGTTTCGACTTCAACCACAAGTACAAAAGAAAACAGGTCAGTGTTCTCTTATGTTTAATTATAAAATTTTTATTCTAAGAATTTACTAATGCCGAAAGTAACTGTTTTTGTTAAATAAAACTATGGTGGAGTTGTAACTTACGAATGAGAAAAGAACTAACAAATTTATTATTGAAATGAAGTTATCATATATTCATAATTTAGGTAAAAGTACTATCTTGAACTGAAAACTATATTTGTTTATATTTTTTGCTTCCATGCAAAATGTGTGCAGTATTCAGTTATTTGATTATAGCATATAAGGGAGGGGGATAATTGTTTATTCCCGTTAGAAAAGCGCTTTTTTTTTTTTTTTTTTTTTTAAAGTAAGTTGTGATTTTAATATGATTAATATGTAACCATTGAATTGGTGTTAATGGAATTACAAACTAAATTTGTTTGGATAGTGTTACATCTAAATCAGAGTATATTTTAAGGAATATCCATTCAATGTAATATTTATATGAAAAGTGGCATACTGTTTGCTATAGTCAATTGTTAAGAATTGGTGATAAATTTTGTGTTTGAATTCTAACAAAATTACTGAAAATAATGGTGAAAGGAAGATTTGTATGGCTTCTTTTTACAAAGTATGCTTTGAATCCTGGTTATGTCAATAAAGTGAAATTTTTATATTTAAACTAATACGAAATATTTATCAAGCAGATTGTTTGTATTTGTCTTGTACTGTCTGAATTTGAATTTTTCTAAATCTTTCCTTTTAAAATGTCGCAGAAAAATTTTCATGCTTGCTGTATGAAATTTTATTGACTATGCCAAATAGTTTTAAAAACATTAATATTTGACATGTGTAATTTGTTTTTTTATATTTATGGATTTAGATTTTTTGTGAGTAAATATAATGTAGTGAGTTTAATAAGTATATACAGGAATGTATTATTTCGTCAAATATCACAGAGAAACGATAATTCTTGCTGTATTAAACTTTGAATTCTCTGTGTCTGGGTAGTTTTAGAAAAGTTATTTTATGATGAGTGAAAATTTGGTAAAGAGGTGGATCATGTTTTTGTATTCATTTATCATGTTTTTGTATTCATTTATCATGTTTTTGTATTCATGTAAATTTTTGTGAATCATGATAATTATGTAATATATTTTTAACAATATATTTCAAAATATAAATATTTTTCTTTAGTTGATTGTTCATAATTCCTATAGCTTCCCAGAGTTATACATTATTATACAGGGAACATATTATATTGTGTGCATAATCAGAATTTCATATTGTTAATTTAAATTTTAATTTGAATCTTGATAGTTATTTAGACGAATAGCAAGATCTAACAGCCAAAGTTTAAACTGGTTATAGACTGCTGATAATCAGTTGTCCTGAATTAAAAGATAAATTTCCTTTTGAAGTGAAACTTGAATTACTTATATTTTGTTTTCATTTACATTAATTATTTTGACTGCCCTCATATTATATATGTAAAAATATATTTTGTAATAATTTGAAGGTTTGTAAACTTGGAGTTTCTAAATTCCAGACATGCTTTAACAAATGAAAATTTGAGATAGATAGTTATTGTTTTAGCTTTATTCTGAATAAATCAATTTCTGTATAAATTTTGTTATTTCTATCAAAAAGTACTAAAGATATTATCAATATTATGGTACTGGGAGATCAGTGGGCTTTCAGTCAAGTTGATTATGTCCCCAGATAGTTTTTGTGAGGTTATCTGTTGTAGTTTTTCAGAGTTATTTTTTCTTTCAAAGAAACACAATATGCTTTGCTGGCTAGGAGGGTCGGGGCTGTGCCCTTATAATGATAATGATGCTGCTTTTGTTGTTGCATTTTGAACCCAGATGCATTTACATTTAACTTTTCTTATATTATATTATTTATTGTTGGTAATAAAATTTATTAAAATGTATAAATAGTATTATACCTTATGTATTTTGAACAAAATATATAAGGTATAATATTAGTATCATAAATTTTAAATGCCACTGCTAATAAAACATTTTCTAAGAGTGCTTTAATTATAATGAACTTTTTGTTCATAGAAAACTTTGATAAGTATTTTTTAAATTAAATTATCTATCATCTCATCTACTTCTTTCTGATTAGGTTATAAAATTTAGGAAAGCATTTAGAATCAAATTTCTTATGGTTAATTGATGTTATTTAAATTTAATTTATGTAAACTGGTTACCTTATAAAATTCCACTATGCTTCCTTAAGTACACTAAAAACCTGCAGTCTAACTTAGAGAGAACAGTGTAAACCCTGTTGGAGATGTTACTAACATTATTATCTAATGTTATTAATTTTATGATATTAGTATTATTACTTTTACAATATGATTAGAGATTTGCATAAGAATTCTGACTGTATTCTGCAAATCTGACATTAGGGATTTTTCTGTTAAATTTAATTGTACATCTCTTCCTGCTTCCTTAATGAAATGACTTTAAATTATGCATGTAAATCTTAAATGTTTTTCTTTCTTTTTTTTAAATCTTTTTTTCTGTTCTCTTTTTTTTTGGGGGGGGGGAAGTTTTTTTTTTTTTTTTTTTTTTGTTGTTTGTTTTTTGTTGATTATATATTTATTTATTTTTATTTTTTAACTAATGTTATTCTTGGAGAGTTTTTTGGTTGGCATTTTTACCTATTCAGGTGCTGTATTTCCATATTTGCATTCAAAGTTATCTTTCAGTGGCCAGTACCATCATTTCATTTTAATGTTTATACTTGATCTTTTGATGTGTAATGTATTATGTACGTATGCATGTGCGTAGTATCTCTTTCCTGTTCAGAATAGTATGTTTCTTTTGTCTTGCATAATCTGTAAGAAAATTTATCAGTTGAATGAATGAATTTTTATCATTATTTAAAAGTTTCAAAGTGAGTTTATTTTGCTTTAAAATTTATTATGAAAATATTTTTAAAGAAATACATGAAAATTAATGCAATATAAAACTGATAAAAAAGCAGTTTTTAAAATTTATTTTTTCTTATTATATTTCTCCACAAATTCATTTATGACTGATAGGAAATATTTTATCTAAAAACATTTTAAATATAAAATTATGGAAATAAAGACAATTAATATGTTGTCATTTTTTTGAATTCAAATTTTTATTTCTAATGTGTATTTGTGAAACATAAGAAAATGCAAGTCCATGTGATACAATCAAAAGTCGTTAATCCGGACATCAAAGGTACAAACTTTCTGCACATTATACGCATGCGCATATGCATTTACGCATGAGCGTAATACCTTTACGCATGCACTTTTAATGTATAACGGACGGTATAAGTTAAGCTAAAATTATCTATTTCAGTAAATGTTGCAGATTGCGATGTTCTTTAATCTTCGAATTGGATCCGGCTTATTATTTTTTTGCAGACTGTTAGAGCAATTTTATAAAAGTAAGCTTGAACTTTTGATTATGTCAAAAAGAATTTCCGATTCTGGAGCCTGCCAAAAGATCTACAAAACAAAACATGTTTCGATGTCCATCAAACAAAAATTAAAATTGCTGCAAAAAATAAAATAAAGGCATGTCCTTTGTTTTTCTAACCATTCTGAAATCTGTTTATCAATTTTACACTGCTCTGCGGGGGTGGGGGGGAAACGTTGTGGTGCACAATGAACTGGAAGTTGATCTGTCAGCACTATCCTTATCTTCAGGGCAGATGTTTTTATTTTATTCGGCTTATTATAATTCCTTACTAAACATAGCATTTCATCTGGATATACTCGGTCTTTGATAGGATTTAAATCAAATTCCTCGTCATTATAAATATTACGAATACACATCAAATAGTTTTCTGGTTGCAATTTTCTAATTTCGACTATGCGTAATGTATGCTTTACGCATGCGCGCGTTGAAAGAAATGTTTAGTAAAGTAGACAAATAAATATTAAGCTTTTTTTTTTTGGTAAATTTTGATACCCTTTAGATCATAATGCTCTTTATTTCATAAATTACGGTTTCATATTTTTAATTTTATAATTTCTGCATGCCATCTTGCCAGATTTAAACTAATGATCTATAATCCGGAAAAACCGATAATCCAGAATCACCGACGAGTCCGCATTAAAGACTTTTGACTGTATTAAAGTTTCTGTGAATGTACAAAATGCTTGAAATTGCTTTTATTTGATATTTAAAAAATTAAGAATATAAATTGTAGTAAGTCGTTGTTTATCCAATGTGCACAATTTGCATTTTGAAAGTTTTTAAGATGCATATCTATCAATTGAAAATTTATTTTTGGAAAAGTACAATAATTTTGAACAATATAATTTCCTTGCAATACAATTTTTGTTACACCATCAGAAACATTTTTTAATTCCCTTCCTTCTGCCACTGCTTTCCCCCAACATTGTTAAAGGAATAAATATCGCTTATCAGCAACAACCTTGTTACAAGCTGTATTTAAATTACAGGCTTTGTCATCTAAAATTTTGTCACCTGGCTATTGTAGGTATTTATTCAGATATTAACTTAAGGTCCTGTATAATTATGTTAATATTTTCTATCTTCATCAAAAATAGTGGCAGTTTATTATTATTTCTGTGGCATATCATTTTACCACAAAATTCTCAAGACCAACCATTTTAAAGTAAATGCCCATTTCAATGTAGGAAGTTCTTTTTGTAATGTTTTGTAGTGTTCAGAGTATTCTGATTAAGCATCACTGATGAAAAAATGTTAAATTAAAATATAAGTAATGAAATTATTTAATTAATAAAGGTGCAGTAGGTTCTATTTTTCATTGAGCTGTTAAGGAAATTATATTAATTGTTGTTGTAAACGTTTAATCAAATTTTTTATTTCGTGATCAAAATTTGCATATCTATATATTACTTGTGACTGTGATTTTGAATTAGAAATACTTATTATTATTATTATTATTATTGCTGTTATTGTTGAGAGGGATATTTACTTTTAAAGTACATAACTTCTTAAAAATAAATAAATAAATAAAATAAAAATTCATTCAGCTTTTTTGCTAACACTTTTTCTCTGTGCTGAGCAACTTACAAATTAAGTCATTAACAGGTAAATAATGATTTTCCTGCCATCGCCTGAAACCATAATCATGTAAGAATGGAACAATGCAGTTTGCTTAACTCTAATAGAATATTTCCCTTGTCATTTTTATGCTCGCATAGTGAGAGTAGTTCAGTTTTCAGATGATTGGAAATTAGCATGAAATATTGTGGTGCTAAAATAGGCGGTTTAGACAGTATAGTTCATGAGGAGAGAAGGGGGAATGAGTAAACTGTGTTCCGAAGCTCGAGCAATGAAGAATAATATCCTAGATAGTGTCAAATGAGGTTTTTGTGATCGTTCATTTGTGACGTTCTGACTTAATTACAAGGAAAATAATAATAATAATAAAACATAAACGAAACTGTAAGATCAGACTAATGTACAATCTCTTCTGTTTGAGTATACAGTACAAAGTCCGTAATCCGGACTCGTCGAGGTTTCGGCGATTCCGGATTATAGATGATCAATTTAAATCTGGTAAGATGACATGAAGAAATTATACAATTAAAAATATTAAAACGTAATTTATGAAATAAAGAGCAATTATGATCTAAAGGGTATCAAATTTTACAAAAAAAGAAAAAAAAAAAAAAAAAAGCTTAATATTTATTTGTTTACTTTATTAAATATTTCTTTCAATGTAAGTTATTTGCTTCGATTTTGTGCTAAACGTGCATGCGTAAACATTAAACGCTGATGCCTAACATTAAACGTGCATGGAAGAGAAATTATAATCTAAAGGTTGTTTACTTTATGAAACATTTCTTTCAATGTAAGTTATTTGCTTCGTTTTTTGTGCTAAACGCGCATGGGGAAACATTAAACGCGCATGCATAAACGCATTACGTGCATGAAGAGAAATTATGATCTAAAGGGTGTCAACATTTACAAAAAAAAAAAGCTTAATATTTATTTGTTTACTTTATTAAACATTTCTTTCAATGCAAGTTGCTTCGTTTTTTGTGCTAAAAGCGCATGCGTAAAGCATACAAAAAAAAAAAAAGTTTGTGACTTTGAGGTCCGGATCATTCCGAATAATGGACGTCCGAATTACGGACTGTGTACTGTATATACTTATATGTTTTTTCCGTATAAAATTATGCCAGAATCAGTATCGTATTCTTCTTTCCTTTTTTTCAAGCATATTATTTTGATCATTTTCCTTGTTTTAAAGGTTGTTGCATTAGATTAACAACTGTGATAAAACAAACGCAGTCGTAAATATTATGGTGATTAATCCTTAACCTTGAAGAACATTGATTTCAAAGCAGAAGTGTGCTGTGGCTCATATTTTGATTTCTGACATCACTTGGCTTTGATTTCCTGAAATACTTATTCCAAATCTCAGCATTATTATTATCAAACAAAAAACAACTTTTAATTTCTTAATGGCGACTTAAATTTGTTTGCAAATTGATAGTTTAATTAGAAAGTTTTCCCCCAGCTGTACCTATGACCATGTCTGGTTACTTTAACGCTGTAGTGAGTGAAACTAAATCGTAGGGTCTATGCAGATCTGTGTGATTTTTAGCGAATTTTCGAGTGCTAGTTTGTTTATTTTTATAACTTGAGAGATATTAAAATATAATCCGGACTCGTCGAGACTTCGGCGATTCCGGATTAGGGATTTTTCCGGATTATAGATGATCAATTTAAATCTGGTAAGATGACATGCAGAAATTATACAATTAAAAATATTAAACCGAAATAAAGAGCAATTATGATCTAAAGGGTATCAAATTTTACAAAAGAAGCTTAATATTTATTTGTTTACTTTATTAAATATTTCTTTCAATGTAAGTTGTTTGCTTCGATTTTGTGCTAAACGCGCATGCATAAACATTAAACGCGCATGCGTAACATTAAACGCGCATGAAGAGAAATTATAATCTAAAGGGTATCAAAATTTACAAAAAAAAAATTCTAATATCTAAAAGAAATTAAATAATGAAGCATCTACATAAATGTATGAATGTGTCTCGCATTGTGATAAAACAACGGTACCTAGATCCCTCAAATTTTGAATAACGTAATCCTTCAGCGAATATGGGCATCTGGAAGCCCTAATTTGGAATTTGTTTTATTATCTACTTCATATTTTGTCAGACGTTAAAGAATTTTTGGTTAAGAAAATAAACGATTTCAAAGCGAGAAATGACAACACTGTACGGGGGGATGTTTTTATCTCCAGCGTGCAAGACTGTGTATCGGAAATTCTAAAGGATATGCTCGTTTTAAAATTATTTTGGCATATTGCTGTTGAACTGAAGTTTTTGGTTTAAGTGCGAAGAACATTATATTTAACAAATGAAGGTAAAACACAAGAAGTTAAAAAAACGCCCTCTTTGGGCGTAATGTAAAATCTGAAAGCTTCCAGATTTAAAAAAAAAATTATTTAGCTCCTTTAATTATTATTATTATTGAATTGATTTTGCCGGTTTATGCGTTTTCTTCTGGTAGAAGATGACACGTGACGGCGGTAAAATGGCGACAGTATGTATATTGCATTTAGTTTGATAACATAGGGTTTAAAAAGGTATTTTTACGTCAAAAATTCTTGCTTGTTACAAAAATAAAAAGAATTAAGAATTACAGTCGACATCCCCCTTTGCAAGAATGATAAAAAAAAGAAACCTAGTATTTTCACCACGATTGCGCTCTCCCCTTTTTTCCTTTTAGCGAACTTTGATTGTACACTTTGGCCACTATATATATTTACGAAACAATATATGCGTAATGTTACAAATTAGGTAGAACAATTGTAAATAATAATAATAATAATAATAAAAAAAAAAAAAAAAAAAAAAGAAATTAAGAAAGGAGAAACCTCTGTTAAAAGAAAAATACAGTTTCCGATGCTCATATGAATGCCATATGATGAATTAATTATGTGATCCTCGCGCAGGTGTTTGAAAAATAATCTGTTCTGAATTAGTGAAGTTCGAAGTCGGTACTTTCACCTAATCTCGAGTATAGAATTTTCATGGCTGAGTTTTCGTCTGCTTTTTCGCTGACTGACTGCTTGCGTAGAGAGCAAAATGCAGTTATTACGTATTTAGTTTCTATACTTGCTGCCTTACAACACTTATGTTACAAAATTAATGCTACGAAGTCCTTTTGGGGAGGGGAAGGAGCTTAGCACCAAGATGTGTTTTTTAGTTTGTTCATTGTAGTGATCATTCTTAATTTTCTTTTTCTATATGACGATTCTTTGTGAAAAGACACAG